CTATAAAATTGTTAAATTGGTTACTTTTAGGTGTGTTACAAATTTCTTCTAGATTTTACTTTTCATTAATTGAATGAATATATTAATCATTCTGTTTCTATTACTAATTTTAAGAAAATAGATTTCTTAAATGTTTCATATGTTAGTTTAATTATTCGTAATTTTTATTAAGTATGATCTGATACAATTCAACAAGCTTCTTTTAATGTTATTGCCTTATAATCATAATTCTTACTAATTCAATCCAGTTAAGGATAGTTGGTGCAATTCTTTTTATTTTTATTTAATTGTTTAAGTGAGACTTCTAAATCTTTTGCAACAGTTTTTATGATTAGAATGCAAAAATTATAAACAGTATTAACAACTCAAGTAATCCTTATGACAATTTTCGTTAAGACAAATGCAAACAATTAAAGAATTTTAGTGATTCTATTTAAGGCATTTCATTATTTGTAAATTAATTTATATCAAATTTTCTATTAAGAATTTAAAGAAAAAGGACAATATTTTGATCTAATTTACGGCTCATTATTAAATAAATTATATATTTATGTACTATAAAATATTTTTAAGTGCATAATTTTAGGATATTCATAAATTTCATATATAATTTAATTAGTTAAAATATTAAAATATCATAATAGAATTCCAAATGTTGATTATCTTGAATAATTATATTTAGATGTTTTAACCTATTAATTTTCATCTTCCCTGAAAATAAGCCAAAGCATTAAAGTAGTCATTTTATAAAAGTTAGTTCTTGGTATAGTTTGAGAATTAGAACCTCCATTAGTATCAAAATTTATATATCCAATAACTAATTCTACATATAAAAAGTATAAAAATGGATATTAAAATATATTATTTGATATTTTTATAATAAATGAATTGTAATAGTTTATTAATTATTATCATAAATAATTATGTAAAATATGAGAAAAATAATTAATTTAATATCTAACAATTATCATTTAAAGCGATTTAATTTAATTTAAATCTAGAGAAACAGTGAAAAAATTATAAAATATCTTATCAATTAACAATAGTTAATTTATATCTAATATAAGAATAATTTAAATCCAATAAAGTAGTAATTGTAATATATATTAAAATTACTTACTATCTTATTTTAAAGAGAACATTGTTTTTTTAAGAGTTATAATAGATTTAATCATACAATACTAAAAATTATTGATCTTTTTCTTATTTCACGATAATATTAAGTCATAATTTAAGGTTTTATAAATTTATTTCAAAAATCCAGTTTCTTATTACCATTATCTATACATTTATATTTAAACCAAGTACAAAATGATAACTGCTAACAATCATATTCATTATCATAATCCGAGCATTTCTTATCATAACAGAGCTTCCTTTTTTCATCCCATATGCAATATGCATTTGGACACTTTCCCGCCTCTTCAGCTTATAATTAAATACATGAGGAATCCCAACATATACTATTATACCAATAGCAAGCAACCTTAATTAGTTATTCTTATTACAATTTGATTACAGACATTCTAATCCTTTCCTTCTTTGCACTTTTTAACGAAACAAGAGGATGAATCTACTTACCATTTACAATCTACTGCTTAATTACAACTGTTTTCATCAGTCAATAAATTACAAATACTTTGACATAAAGAGGGTTTCCAATAACTCCAATAACATTAATCATTTGTATTACATTCTTATTGATTTTGTATTTCTGTACATAAGCTTTAAACACAAATCAATAAGACAAAAACCTAATAAAGAAATATATTTAAATCAAACATTTTGATTAGTATTAAAATATTATACTTTTAATTTTAGAGAATCTTGAAATATTTCAAAAATAAATACTATTTTTCTTGGATTTTATTAATATTTGAGAGGTATTTCAAAATGAATTATCTCTTTTTTTAAAAAAAATATAATTGTAAAATATATAGATATTGATAGATAAACTAAAATAATAATAAAATAATTAACATATTGTTTATTAAATATATATTCCTTTATAAAATGATATATATTCCCTTTTATATTACATATAATTATAAGAAAATAATAATTTAATATTATACTTAGCATCTAAGCTTATGTATCATAATAAAATAGAATAAAAATTGATATAATTAGTATAGATATACTTCTTTAGAATATATAAATAAAAGAATAATTACTATCAAACAGTATTATTTAATGAAATCAAATATCTTTTTATTTACTCTCATTCAAATAAAAATCCAAAATTTTAGGTCTCATTGATTCACTAAATTCTGATATTTATGGTTCATTTTCAACATCTGCTCTTATAAAAAATACACATAAATATCTATTCTCAATATCAAGCCAATTTTAAAATCCATGCACTCCAGAACTTGAAAAGATTACAGGTTAATTTTTATTATTAGTATCATAAATCCAAGCACCAATTGCAAAACTATATGAATCTGATACTTCTCCTACAACTTCTTTCATGATTTCTACTGAAACAGGCAAATCTTCAGTATAATCTTTAAACATTTATTTAACAATCGATGCTTATATTATTTATTTGCCATTAAAAGATCCATGATTTAGTAGCATTCTTAAAAAATTACCATAATCAATCATTCTAATTAAAAATCCATCTGCAATTGCAATATTTTAACCTTTCTCTCCATCAAAAGCAGTAAATTAAGCATTCTTCATTTCTAAAGGTTTAGCTAAGAACTCATCAAATAATTAATGAAATGATTTTCCTGTAACTTTTTCTGCCATTCCACCTGCTATTTACATCCCAATATCACTATAACCAACCTTAGTACCTCCTTGAAAATATACTTTGCTGGCTGGATACTTTCCACCTTTTGCTATTCCAATCACAGATTCTTATAATGTAATATCTAAATCTAATATCCATTCATCTGCTAATTCATAACCTGAAGTATGAGTCATCAAATGTTTTAATTATAAATTAGGATTTCTATTCTTAAATTCTGGATAGAAATCTATCACTTTAGTATCAAGACTTAATAATCCTAATTCAACTAGTTTCATTATTATAGTCATAGCAATCCATTTACATCCAGATGCTATATGAATAGTAGTTTGATCATCATAAGGTTGATGTCCTTCTGAAGACAAGTGTTCTTTTAAATATATTTAACCATCAGCTCCTTATATTAAAATACTCATTTTATGACCCATGATATGTAAATTTGATTTGAGTTACTCCAATATTTCTTTTCTCCTTTATTAATTTTACTATTTCATTAATAATATTTAAATAATTTATAGTATATATATATAAAAATATAGCTAAGAATAAATTATCCAATTTTACCTAATTTTTACATTAATTCTTTATATATTAAATTCAATCCTTCATTAATATAAACATGAATAATCACATTTTTAACAACAAAATAGATAATATAATTATTTTAATTATAATAAGGAATAAGAAATTATATAATCATTTAATAAGAAATTGGATTATTTCTTTACATCTAAGCAGTAATTGTTAGTAATAATGACAATAATTAGTATTTATTGAAGCATGCTCACTGGATATTTTATTAGTTCATTTAATTAATCGATTATTAAAATAAATAACACCAGACATACCCCCTTATTATTTGACTTTTTAATAACCAATTATTTCTTCCTGAAACTTTCCATAATATAAGTAGATAAGTTTATGCAAATACAAATCCCATAATATTAAGTCTTAGCAAATATTGGGTGTGGATCCTAACATTTAGTATATTTAGCCAAATAAATTTAAAATTCAGAAACATATGCCATAAAAATAGAAAAAAAACCTCGAATAGGACAGTTAGAGAATGAAATAGATATTCTCAAGAGATTAAATGGAGTAGAAGGAATTCCTCAAATTAAAGAAACTGGAGTAACAAGAGAGGGAAAGTAATTTTTTCGTTATAATGAAATTTAGGGTTTTTCTTATTCTTCCACTCTTATATAAAAATTTATTAGAGTTAAGAAAATAAATAAAATTTTCTAATTGGTTTATAATGAGAATAGGTTTAAGGATGATTGAAATATTAGAATAATTACATAATAAAAATATTTTACATTTGGATATAAAACCAGAAAATATAATGATTTGTTAAGAATTTAAGAATGAATATGATATTTTAAAATCTGGATTTATTTAATTAATTGATTTTGGTTTATCATAACAATATTAAGAAAATTCAGAATCATTATAAGATATATTTATAGGTTCATTTAATTTTGCAAGTAGATCATCTCATTATGGTCAACCACTTGGATTTAAAGATGATTTAGAAAGTTTATTATATGTATTACTTTATTTAAAAGATTGTAATTAATTTATATTTTATAAAAATAGTAACATTGCCATGGTCTAATAAATAATATTAAGGATTTTATAATCTGGATTTCGAATAAATCAAAAAATCAAAGTTTAACTTTTTTAAAACAATGATTTTATAATAGAAATCCTCTAATCATTTATCTTAATTTATCTCTTACATTGACTAATTGAACCATCATGTTCTACCAGATTATCAATATATAAAATAATTGTTTAAATAGATGATCTAAGAATCAAATCATTAATTTTATTATTTCAAATAAGATTAACAGTAATCATTTTGCACTCCTACTTAAAGTTATAAAGAAGATTCAAACATATAAAAAATATCAAATTATGAGAACTTTGATGAAATACTTTTAGATCACAAAAGCTATAGAAGTGAAAAAAGTGAAAAAACTATTATTTTGGTTTCAAATTTAGTAGTAAAGTATAATACTCAATAAATTAAATCAATAAAAGATATCAAATATTGAAAAATTATTACTATTTGAATTTATAATCTAATATTTTTAATATAAGATAATTATTTATTCAAAATTCATTATATTCAATAATAAAAAATGAGTAGTAGACTATTACTATTTGGCTTCATTTATTTGATTATAGACAATAAATATATTTATAAAAATAGTTATAACATTTTAAATAAATATTTATATTAATGAATTCATAACTACATTTCAATGTGGTCAGAGTGGATAAAGAAAGTTAGAATTCTAAATTTATTCAGTATAAGCTTTAAAAGAGTAGATGAAGTTCCAAGAAATTTTAGATTTTTGTGAGATGACTTAAAAGATGTTTGAAGAATAATTTAGTAAGCAACCAAAAAATTTGTAGATTAAACAATATCTAATTATGGGATTAAAAAGGGAACTGTTAATTATTACTTTATAAAAAATGAATTAGACAAAGAATTAAAATATTTAATTGAACAATAATGTAGTTTCTAACTATTTCTATAAATTAGCTTTTGCATTAGAAAAACTAGATAAATTTGATTAGGCAATTGACTTATGGGATAGAGCAATTAAAATTGATAAGAAGAATTAATACAATTATGAATAAAAATGTATAATAAATTACAGTTATTCATTTAGCAATTATCCTAGAAAGATTGGGAAGATATGATTAATTAATAGAATGCTGGAATTAAGCAGTTTAATTCAATAAGAATAACATTCACTTTTATCATTAAAAGGGTATATCATTATGTATATTAATTTCAGCATAAGCATTAAAAAAAATGAATAGACATTAAGAAGTTATAGAATGTTGGCATCAAGGAATTATAAATAATATAAGTAATCTCCAATTTTATTCATAAAAATGTTCATACCTTCATTATTTTAATAGCTATTGATCTAATAAAATAAAATAGAATCGAAGAAGCACTTTGTTGTTGGGACTTTGGAATACAAAACAACAAAACAGACGCTTAATACTATATACAAAAAAGTGAGAATAATAATTTTATCATTTTCAGTTTTAGTTTTAGAGAGTTAAGGGAAACTTTAGGAAGTTATAGAATGTTGGGACATTGGAATCAAATTCAATATCCATAATGAATTATTCTATTGTTAAAAAGGTAAATTATGATAACAATTTTAGTTATGGCCTTAGAGAAATAAGGTAAAATCAATGAAATCATAGATTGTTGGAATTTAGGAATCTAAAATAATAAAACCCTTAGTTACTACTATGAATAATTATGTATTAGATTAATTTCGATTATTTAGCTTCTTTCTTAGAAAAAATTGGAAAATTGGATGAGATGATGAATTGTTGGAATTTAGCTATCATAAATAATAAAAATAATTTATACTTTTATTAATAAAGTGGTATTATTATCATTTATTGAATAGCACAGTTACTACTAAAGCTAGGTCGAATATAAGAAGCAATTGATTTATGGGATTAAGGGATAAAAAGTAATAGAAATTCAGTAGAATTTTATTAAGAGAAAGGTAAAGGAGAAATGTATGTTTAGTGATTCTTTTAGAAAAATAAGGTCAATATTTGTAAATTATAGATTGTTGGAATTAAGGAATTGAAAACAATAAGAAAAATTAATATTTTTATTAACAAAAAAGTATGATTACTTGAAAATCAATATTTAAGCAAATGCATTAGAGAAGATAGTAGACTTTGAGTCTGCTTTAAGATGTTGGGATGAAGGAATTTAAAATAATAAATAGAAAAAGTTTTATTATAAATAAAAAGGTAAAAAAAAAAGAATATATTTTAAGCAAATACTTTACATAAATTGGGAAGAATTGATGAATTATTATAATTATGGGACTTAGGGATTAAAAATAATATTTATGATGATTATTTTTATAGGAAAAAAGGTAGGTTTATTTGATGATATTATAAAGCAAATGTGTTAGATTAATTAGGAAGATCAGATGAAGTGCTAGAATGTTGGAATATTGGAATAGATAATAACAAAAATCAAGTTATATATTATGAATAATTATGTATGAATTATGTGTAATATAAAGGTAAATACATATTAGAAAGTAAAAGGGAGATGAAAGATTAAGAATTAATGTAAATATTGAATTTAGGAATTAAAAATAATATGAGTCATATAATCTTTTATCAATTAAAAGGTATAAATAATAATATTGTTAAGTAAACTTATTATAAAATTAAAATAAATAAGAATAAGTTATTGAGTGTTGGTAATAAGGTGTTAATAGTAGTCATAGTGTATTTAAGGCAGAATTTTAGTTTAAATTAAGTTGATATAATATGTAATATTAAGGTAAAACNTCTATTGTTAAAAAGGTAAATTATGATAACAATTTTAGTTATGGCCTTAGAGAAATAAGGTAAAATCAATGAAATCATAGATTGTTGGAATTTAGGAATCTAAAATAATAAAACCCTTAGTTACTACTATGAATAATTATGTATTAGATTAATTTCGATTATTTAGCTTCTTTCTTAGAAAAAATTGGAAAATTGGATGAGATGATGAATTGTTGGAATTTAGCTATCATAAATAATAAAAATAATTTATACTTTTATTAATAAAGTGGTATTATTATCATTTATTGAATAGCACAGTTACTACTAAAGCTAGGTCGAATATAAGAAGCAATTGATTTATGGGATTAAGGGATAAAAAGTAATAGAAATTCAGTAGAATTTTATTAAGAGAAAGGTAAAGGAGAAATGTATGTTTAGTGATTCTTTTAGAAAAATAAGGTCAATATTTGTAAATTATAGATTGTTGGAATTAAGGAATTGAAAACAATAAGAAAAATTAATATTTTTATTAACAAAAAAGTATGATTACTTGAAAATCAATATTTAAGCAAATGCATTAGAGAAGATAGTAGACTTTGAGTCTGCTTTAAGATGTTGGGATGAAGGAATTTAAAATAATAAATAGAAAAAGTTTTATTATAAATAAAAAGGTAAAAAAAAAAGAATATATTTTAAGCAAATACTTTACATAAATTGGGAAGAATTGATGAATTATTATAATTATGGGACTTAGGGATTAAAAATAATATTTATGATGATTATTTTTATAGGAAAAAAGGTAGGTTTATTTGATGATATTATAAAGCAAATGTGTTAGATTAATTAGGAAGATCAGATGAAGTGCTAGAATGTTGGAATATTGGAATAGATAATAACAAAAATCAAGTTATATATTATGAATAATTATGTATGAATTATGTGTAATATAAAGGTAAATACATATTAGAAAGTAAAAGGGAGATGAAAGATTAAGAATTAATGTAAATATTGAATTTAGGAATTAAAAATAATATGAGTCATATAATCTTTTATCAATTAAAAGGTATAAATAATAATATTGTTAAGTAAACTTATTATAAAATTAAAATAAATAAGAATAAGTTATTGAGTGTTGGTAATAAGGTGTTAATAGTAGTCATAGTGTATTTAAGGCAGAATTTTAGTTTAAATTAAGTTGATATAATATGTAATATTAAGGTAAAACTTTACAAGAATAGAAATAATTTAAGAAGGCAATAATTTAGTTACGTTTATGTAATTCTTAAATGAGTAATTCAATTTAGAGATAATTAAGAAATCAATATTGATAATGAATTTTTAATAATTATTTTTAGTAAAGACATCTACAATATTATTTCAAATTAGATAAAAAAATATATTTAATTTGAATTTGGTTTAATTATGAGTAGTTTAATTGAGATTAGAGATAATCTTGTTTTTATTGATTAAATTATTAACAAATTAATTTTATGAAATCTTGTGTATTCTTTTGCTTGTTATTGATAGCATAATGTTATTTAGTAAATCAAAGTGATAAATGCAATACATGCAATTAATTAAAATCATAGATGGATTGTGAAAATGGGAAATAGGATCTAAATTTATGTGAATGGATTAGTGATTCTAATATCAACAATGGAAAATGTTAATAAAAAATAGATTTGTAAAATCCTAATATTTCTTATACATCTTATTGTGATTTGGTAATATAAAAAGAAATAAATTGTCGTTTAACATATGGTTGTGCTTATATAAATAAAAAATGTATAATCTTTGCTGGTTGTTCAGCCTATGGATATTAAAGAACATTTGATTGTTAGGCAATCTCATATTAATGTATAAGCGATGGAAAATCATGCATAAATATAAAGGAATGTAAAGATTATACTGAAGACAAATGTAATGTTACACCAAGTTTATCCGGTAAAAAAATATGTAAGTGGGATTAAATAGAAAAGATTTGCAAAGATTATAAATGTTCTGAAAGTGATGATAGTCTAAAAACTGATGAATAATGTGATTAATGGTTAAAAGGATGTATAACAAGAGGAATGGGTTGTTGGGATTCACCATTGCCTCCTTGTTCAAATTATAAAGGGAATGAGAAAAGTTGTAATTAATATTTTGGTTAAGATGGTTATTGTGAAAAAGGATTAGATGAAATGTGTTAAGCCAAGAAATGTGAAAATGCCTCTTAAGAATTTAATACTGACTCTGATTGTTAAAGATATTAGAAAGGTTGCATAACAAATGGAAAGGGATGCATATTTGCTTAAATAAGACCTTTATGTTCAACCTATTTTGGAGATAGTTATACATGCTAAGGTTATATTGGATCAGATGGATAATGTGAAGGAGATCAAGCTGGGACTATATGTAGAGCCAAAAGATGTGAAAATTCTCCAAATTATACTACAGATGAATTATGTAAAGAATATTAGTCTAATTGTATTACAAATGGTGTTGGTTGTGTTTAAAATTTATAACCTTGTAGTAGTTATAAAGGAAATATTAAATTATGTTTTGCTTATAAAGGAAGTGATGGTTATTGTAAAGGTGATGAAAAAGAGAAAGATAGTCATAAATAATGTATGGTTAGAGTTTGTAATGAAGCACCAACTAATTTGTATACAGATGAAGAATGCAACGCATATTAGATAGGTTGTGTCACCACTGGATTTGGATGTATAAATAAAATAGATAGGAAATCATGTACAAGTTATTTAGGAGATTCTGAAAAATGCTTAAGATTTGTAGGTATTGAGGGGAATTGTATGTGGTTAAGTGGTAATTACTGTACATCTAGAGAATGTTAATTAGCTCCTGTTAATTAGATGTGTAATAGTTGGATGAAAAATTGTGTAAGTACTGGTAAAGGATGCATAATGAAGAGAGAATGCTAATAGACAATTAATCAAATAAGTTGTGAAGGTACTGAAGGTTGTTTTTGGTAATCTACATGCAATGATAATTCTGATTGTTTTTAATTTAAGAGAGAATCTATTTGTAGATCTACTTATGCTAAGAAAGTTATAAATGGAATACTTAATACAATAAAATGCAAATGGACATAAGATGGATGTAGATAATTAAATTGTTATGATTTGATAGGATAGGAATATAAAGATGATATTAATTGTTAAAATGAAATATCATATTGTATTAGTGATAAGAAAAACTCATGCATTACTAAATATGATTGTTCTAAATTATATGGTAATAAGTAAACATGTCTTGATTATCTTGGATATTGTATAAATGATGAATTTGCAGATGATAAAACACCTTGTATTTTAAGATAATGTAAAGATAATGTTGAATTAACAAGTAATTAAGAATGTAATAATTTCTTACCAGGATGTGTTAGTAATGGAAGAGGTTGTGTTGAATATGGAACTGAATGTTCTTAAATGTAAGGTGATTAAAATATGTGTAATTAATTCTTTGGATATTTAAGTGGATCTTCTTTAAATTTTACAACTATTTAATGTTATAATCATAAATTTGCTAATTCATAGACTTATTGTTAAATAAAGACTTGTAATATGGCAGAAGATTTAGAAAATGATAATTAATGTCAAGAATTTTTAAATGGTTGTTTTTATAATGGAAATGGAGGATGTATAGATCCATAATAGGCTACTTGTGAATCTTATTATGGTGATGAATTATTTTGTGAATAAGTAATTGTTGGACAAAATTAAAAAAAATATTGTTTTGGGACTTCAAACAAAGGATAGTGTATGAAAAGAGAATGTTGGCATATTTCTAGAGCATAAACAAATTCAGAATGTGAATTATTTCGTTAAGGTTGTTTATTAATGAATTTAAATTGTGTTGATTAAACTAGTATAACATGTTAAGATTAATCAGGAACTTAAGAAACCTGTTCATATTATTATGGAGGAATCTAAATTAATAATTAATGGAATAAAATTTAATGTCTTAAAAAAGTATATTGTTAAGAAAGATAATGTGAAGATGTTGAAAATCCTAATAATCCTTAAGAATGCACAAACTATAAATCAACTTGTAGATTTTTTTAAAAAGGTTATCCATGTATTAGAGCTAATAATTGTGATAAGTATTAAATTCCAGACTCTGCTAACACAAACCAATTAAAATTTGATTATTGTAATAACATAAAAGATCAAATGGGATTATATTGTGGCTGGAATGAAGGTTTTTTTTGTTCTACAAGAGATTGTAATCAAATATAATATGGATATAGTTCTAATTGTTCTTAATTCATTCAGGAAGGTAAAACTACAGGAAATGGAATATGCAAATTAGCTGGATCAATTTGTTATGCTCCAAGAAGTGATTGTTATTATTCTATACCAATAAATCTCATAAATAATCAATAAAAGTATAATCACTGTATATAATTTCAAAATGATAAAGGAATAAATTGCACTTATGCCATTAATGATTCAACTTGTAGTTCATAAGATACCTGTGAAAAAGTAATTAATTCTCAAGATGCAAAAACTTGCAATGACTTTTTGGGATTTAATAGTCTATGTTAAAAGGGTAAGAATTCTAATTGTTATACTACATCTTCAAATTGCTTTAATTATTAATTACCTCCTCTTTATACTTATACTTAAAAATTGGATGTCTGTCTTAGTTTGAAAATTTTAGATGGATCTTTTCTACCAACTATTGGTTATAAATCTTGTACATATATTGATGGATAGACCTGTTCAAATATTACTTAATGTTAGGACATTAAAAATGCTTCCTCTTAGAAGGATTGCAATGAACATCTTACGGGTTGTCTCTATTTCTAAAATGAATGCTATTCTTAAGTTACATCATGTGATGAATTATTATTCCCATCTGGAATCACATCTGACTCTATGAAATCTCTGTTTTGTAATAGTATGAAAAATAATGCTTCATCATACTGTTCACTCAAATACGATAAGAATGGATGTGAAGATAGTCCTTATAGTGATTGTAGTTAAATTGTATCCATTCCAACATTTTGGGATGGATAAATAACAAATTTTGATAAGTTTTGTTTAGCTCATACTGATAAAACCAAAAGTATCTAATGTATTAATGATAATGGATTATAATGTAAAGCAGGAACTTGTGAAGATATACCAACACCTCTTGATTAAAATGATTGCGATAATCATATTAATGGATGCATATTTTACTTTAAAAAATGTAGAACATCTGTTGATTTGATAGCTGCTGATAATTGTAGTGACACTTCTAAAGTTCCATTTCCTCAGGATATAATTGAATTATCGAATAATGATAAAATTCAATATTGTGAATTATTCAAGAACAATGTTAACAACATCAAATGTACATATGATCAATTCAATGGTATTTAAAATAATTGTACATCTGTTAATGCAGCTTGTACCAGTTATTCAATACCAAATGAAATAATAGATAAACAGCTATTTTGTTAAAGTAAAAAGAATATTTTTGGATTTCATTGTAAATATAATGAAACTGAAGAACATTGTAATGATTAAAATTGTTCAGATGCAATAAACCCAAAATCTCAATTAGATTGTGACACTTTGGTATTTCAGAATAAATGTAAATATTTGTTAGGTACTTGTTATCATTATGAAAATACTTGTAGTCAAATACCTGCTTTAAAGGAAAACTCAAAAATATATTGTGAAAAACTTGTTATTCAAACCAAATAATGTACATATATAGGAGGTGATTACTGTATCGAAGTAAATAATTGTGAATAATATAATGTTGAAAGTGTGACTAATAAATTGGCAATATGTAATTAATTGTTAGATTATTCTTATCAGAGCTGCACTTATCTTTGGGGTAATTATTGTGTCAATTAAAGAGCTTGTGAAGATTATGATGGTAATATAGATAGCCTGAAGGGACCATAATAAGGTTTTGAAGATTTATAATGTTATAGTGTTTAATCAATATTAAATAATCGGTGTGTTAAAGATCAATATCAAAGTAGAAAATGTAGATCTTAAGTGTGTGAAGATATTTCAGATGAAAATAATTGTTTAAATGATGTATTAGGATGTTTTTATTACAATTTAAAATGTTTAACAAAAAAGGAATGTTATTAATATTCACCAATAGGACATAGCTAAGAATAATAATAGTAGTGGTGTGAAGGAGTACAAAGTATAAATGGATCGTATTGTAGGTGGAATGGAACAGGATGTTCAAATAGAAATTGTAGTGATGTTTAATATTATACAGATTTTGATTGTTAAAATTATCTTTCTAATTGTAAAACAGATGGAATGAAATGTATTGAATAGAGTTTAAGTTGTAATTAGATGAAGGCAATTAAATAATTATGTGGAAGACTTTTAGATAAAAATGGAAAAGACAAATGTAAATCTGATGAACAAAATGATATTTTTGGAAAGTGTGATAATAGAACTTGTTATGATAATATATATGCTTAATCTGATACTGAATGCAATGAATTTATGAATGGGTGTGTTACTAAAGGATAAGGATGTATACCAAATACTGAACCTTGTACATCCTATAGAGGTACTAAGATAGAATGTGAATAATACAAATAGTTAATAAATAATGAATATGTATATTGTTCAGGATATTAATCAAATCAATCATTTAGTAAATGTAAAGTGAGAAGTTGTTCAGATAATACTACAGCAATTTCAGATTAGTAATGTTCATAGTTTTTAAAAGGATGCAAAACAAAAGGGGAAGGATGTATTTAAGAATCAGCATTATGTTCAGAATATCAAGGAAATTAAGCTATTTGTTAAAAATTTAAAGGAAATTATGGTTAGGATCATTGTTTCAGTACTTCAATATCAGTAATATATACACCCTGTAGAAAATTAGAATGTAGAGATATCCAAGGTGTAGATAATTCATCATGTAATGAGAGATTTGAGTCAATCACTTGTGTATTTGATGGATTAAAGTGTATTAATTATGGAATGAAGTGTTCTGAATTTAAAGGTAATTATATTACTTGTTCCAAATATATTGCTATTGATGGACCATGTAAAGCAACACTAATGGATGAATTCATAATTAGTAATTGCACACCACGTTTATGCAATGAAGCACCTAACACATTAAAAACTGATTAAGAATGTTAGATTTATCATCCATCATGTTATACTACTGGCTATGGATGTACATCTATTAAATAATGTGATAATTTGATTACTTAAGCTGCTTGTTAAGAAAAATAAGAATGTTCATGGACTCATTTTTGTAATTAATAATATAAAAGCTGTGACTCAATTAAAAATGCTAGCTATTCTATTTGTTTTAACTCAAAGATATAAAATTAAACATGTGCATTCACTGAAAATACTAGTTAATGTCGTTCTTAAACTTGTGATGATTTACCTAATTACATTACATCTCATAGTTTATGTAATTAACTGAATCCCAAATGTACAACTAATGGAATGGGTTGTATAACTTTTGGTTAATGTTCTTCTTATAGAACTGCTTCTATTTGTCTTTATGCTTAAGGAGTGTAAAAATGTATTTGGGATGAAACAGAAAAAGGATGTAGAGATATTAGATGTTCTGATTTTAATGGCAGAACTGATGTTGAGTGTGAATAATAAATGAGTGGATGTATAACTAATGGTAATACTTGTATTTTTGGAGACTCTTGTGATGAATATATTAACTAAAATTACTGTATTCAATCTAAAAAGGGACCCTGTTTATGGATTTAGAATTCATGTATTAATTATTCTAAATGTGAGGATGCTAAATTTAAAACTTTTTAAGAATGTTAATTAGTATCACCTTTTTGTACATCTAACGGATTAAATTGTATTCCACTTACTTTTTGTGATCAATATCAAAATCTAGAATCCTGTGTATTTGGATTGGAGAAATTATGTGGATGGAATGAAAAATGCTAACCCTTTAAAGCCTGTTCAGATTTAAAATCTCCAGATAATAATGTTTGTAAATTATATCATAATGATTGTGTATCTGATGGATAAAAATGTATTTAAGTAGTTTAAAAATGTTCTATGTATCTAACATCATAAGCATGTATTAATCCATCCTAAGAAGAAACTTGTATTTGGAATTAAATAACAAAAACTTGTAAATCAATTACATGTGAAGATTATCAATATAAAACGCATTATGAATGTTAACAAACAAAAAATTAATGTACTACTAATGGAACTACTTGCATTCCCTTATAAAAATGCTCTAACTATGGAGAAACTTCATGTTATTAAGGAATAGATGGTCTATGTATTTTTAGTTTTCCATTAGAAGGAAAGACTCCAATTAAATTGTGTAGACCAAAGGAATGTCAAGATGTTTACAATGCATAAAATAATCAAAGCTGTTAAAATATCTTACCAGGTAAATAATGTGTTTCTAATGGTACTCATTGTATTCCTAAAGCATAATGTAGTACTTACTAAACTCTTACAGCTTGTTAAGGGGGAGGTATTGATGGTAAAAAACCAACCATTTGTGCATTCACCCCAAAAGAAATTAACTCATAAAATGGTACTTGTAAAACATTTTCTTAATGTGCAGATGCAGATAAAGATGAATTTACATGTAAAAGTAATCCATCTTGTTATTGGAATATAAATAAATGTGTTGATTAAACTTGTGAAACCTTTTCATCTGGCTTAAATTGTAACCCTATACCAAGTTTCGATGGTACTAAATATACAATATGCTTATTCGAAAATGGAAAGTGTTAAACTAATGATCCTAAGACTATATCAGAATCTAAAGCTTGCTTTATTAAATCAGCATACACACACACTTGGAATTCCATGACAAATCAATGTGAAGCATGCTTTCATTCAACAACTCCTTAAAATCCAGGTTCAACTAACATAGATGTTATATTATCTGTATTTGTAACGGCAATCTTGATTGTTTGAATATTTTTTTAGTTTTAGATCTATTTTATAATTTACATTTAATTAAATACATAATACGTAATAAATTAGTACTTTTAAATATATATATATATAATTCAAATATTTAAATATGTTCTAATCCAAAATTAAAGTAGAAATCTCAAACTTGTAATGCAATAAGCATTTTGGTAATCCATATTTACAAATAAAGATTGATAAGGGATGTAATGGAATAGAAAGATTAATGTGTAGTGAATGTATAGCAGATTAGAGAGGAGTTTATAATGTAATGTCTATTGTAGAAGCAAGTGAGAGAATATAAAATTTGAAGAGCTAATAATAATAACAGATAGTAGATTTTATCAAATCATAAAAACAAATGCTAGAAAAATTAAGAGAGAAAACTAATAGTCTCTAATCTAAAATTTATGAATTATTTTCCTCATTAAATTAAAAATTTGATGATTACTCAGTAGAATTAGATAATTTAGTTGCAGAATATAATTTTTGTGATTTACTCAAAGAAATTAATTTTCTTTTTGAATCTCCTAATTAGATTATATACTAATAGTTTCTAATAGATTCTGAAAGGATTTAAGCAATGAATAGAATTTATTCATCTAAAGTAAATAATTTAACTTTAACTTTAAAATCTATAATAGCAGATTGGAATGTTTAAAATGAGTTTGATGAAAAATTCAACGAAATTTCTACATAAATTAATGATAATAGAATTAACAAAAATCATTCCATTTTGACAAAAATTTAAGAAGTCAAACAATAACAATCTTGTTGGGCTATTGCATTTAATAAATCTAATTCAATCATGGCAGCTGGATGTGAAGAGAATATTAAAATTTGGAATTTTCAAGATAATAAATTAATTGATTCTGGAATTGTATTAAAAGGACATTCTGATTATGTATAATGTTTGGTATTCAGCAAATATCATGATTGGTTTGTCTCAGGTGGATTAGATGAAAAAATTATATGTTGGAATCAAATTAATATAAAGAAATGGTAAGGGAATTAATTTCTTAATACAGGTTAAGGAATAATATAATGCTTGATATTAACACCAGCTGAAGATTAAATTATATCAAGCCATGATTCAAAAATTAAAGTATGGAATCTTAATATTGAATGCAACATGATATCATTCAAATAATCATTAGATATGCACAAATCAACAGTTTAATCTATTTGTATTAATGAGAATTAAACATTTTTAATATCAAGTGCTTCAGATAATAAACTTATTCTATGGTCAAAGAAATCTTCATAAGAATGGTCATACTAGTGTACTATCAATAAAATTACAAATGATTGTGGAAATAGAGTTAGCTTTATTTCTAATTCAACGTTTGTTTTGCAATTGGAAAAATAAGGAATTTTACATATATTTAATTTTGAGAATGGAGAATTTATTGAAAAACCTGAATTAAAAGTTATATTAAAATCAGAAAAGGAATAAGATAGAACTCTACTTTTTCCATCTATATTTAATAAGAAAAAAAATATATTTGTTTAAAAACATCATAAATATGTATATATTTTGAAGAAAGATAATAAAAATTAATTATCAATTAATGGAGATCCAATTTCTTGTGAATCAAAATTTAATTATGGAACTATTACTAATGATGGTAATAATTTGATAATTTGGAATTTAGAATCAAGATCATTTAATGTGTATTAAATAAATTGATAATTACATTATAATTAATCTTAAATTAATTTAATATATATCATTCCTTTGATAACAAATTTTTCAGTTTATTTTTTATACTTAATAAATATTAGCAAATCAGTTACTTTTATTTTCATATCATAATAATAATTTCATTATATTTACATTTTAAATTGATTTATTTAGCAATTACATAACTTTCGATAATATTTACCTTATAAATAACGTATATTTTGGATTGTTTAAAATAAATATTAGATGATAATTTAATCTTAATTATATAAGAACATTAATGATCGGAATTAAATTTATCATTTTTACATATTTTTAGTTACTATAAATTAACAACTGTTTCAAAACTTTAAAATAAACCGATTTCTTTTCATTTATATAAAATTACTAATATTTATAGAATTTTCTGCTGGGTTTAATATATTCAAAAACAAAAACAAAATATTTTCATGTTTCTGTTATTTGTCATAATGAAGCCAAATAAATAAGTTTTTTTCACAATCTACTTTTTATATTTAAAGGCATAAATATTCAGTATAATGTAGAGTAATCAAATATTTGCCAATCATATCAAATTTCTAATTTTATACAAATTCATTTATCTGTTTTATCTCCTAAATAATCATATAATTTAACTCTAGTTATCTTTTAAATTAGTTTCTATTAATTATAAAATTCCTGTAGCGATACTAATCTCCTCTTTATTATGGGTTTTAATTGATAATTATCTTTTAAGTTATATTAAAATTTTTCTCCTTAAATAAGAATCCAAATATAAAGAAACTCATTACTATTTTATTCAATCATTAATATTTATTTTTAAAGTATAAATTTAATATAAAATTCATATTCATGGTAAACACTAATAAAATCGAAAAGGACAAATAAATAGTAAGTAAACCACTTAAAAGTTCAGTTATTTTAAAGGAATAAGTCAAGCAATAGATTTCTTAGAATGAGATGTGTAAAGAACTAAAATTTAATAGTAAGAATTCTTTGATATTTACTGGTAATGAAACAAAGATTAAAATTCATGTTTTTCACGAAGGATTTTTATATAAGATATGTGAATTTTATCACAGTAATAATATATTGACATACTTGAATTGCAAAAAAGACACAATTTTAATTTCAGCTTGCGATTAAATGATTCAAATGAGGGCTTTATTTGATATCAACAATAAAAAATTTTAAAGGACAATATCAATTTAGTTGTTTTGCTCTTAGTCAAAAAAATAATTTATTAGTAGCAGGTCTTTAAAATCATACTTATTTTTTTTGGGATGAAAATTGCGAATGGGTGTTTAAATAAGATTTAGAATCAATCGAAGGAATTGATTGGGTATATAGTCTAAGATTTAATGAGTCTGAAAATAAATTAATCTCATGTAATTGAAATAATAAAATAGCAATAATGTAATAACCATGTTATTATTTATAAAAATGGAATATATTGTTTAAATAATTAATATGGATAATTTTGGTACTTAAGCAATCTTTTTGGGAACAATTCCTTTATTATTCATCTTTGGATGAGCAATAATATGTTAGTTTATAAATTTAATTAATAAAGTAATGTATTTACTTTATCAAATTCATTTCTTATGGAAGGAGAAGGTTAATTTGTTATTCTTTTTTTTCGTTCGTTATACATAAAGTAGACATAATTATCTATCAAATAAGATAAAAATTAGCTTTGCCTATTTTTAGTAAACAAAGACTAAGAATTATAATTATTCTAAAGAATTAGATTTCAGGAATGGCACATTTGGGGAACTATGAGTGATAATGGATTTTTGCTAATAACATGGGATTAAGCTTCAAAAGAACTAAAAGTAATCTCTTGTTTTTAAAATTGAAAAAATAAATCCTACCAAGATTGAATATTATTATTTCAATTAAACTTATATTAAGATATTAAATGAATTTGCATTCCATAAATTATCATTTTCATTAAATAATAAACGTAGAAATATCTTTTACTTCATCTTTTTTACATTATGAACATCAATATACATATTATTTTAAAATCTTCTTATTAATAATCCCATAATTTTAAGATTTAATTTCAAAATAGATTATATTTTTATTAGAAAAAGCTTGATGAATATGGATAATCATCGGCCTTTTCAAATAAAACTAAAACTGTTTAACAGATCAATAAGCATTTTATATCATTTTTTGATCTTTATCAATTTTTATAAAATAAATCGCTCAAGTCTTGATCATTCTTATCTATTTGAAATTTACATATCATTGAATCTTAAATATTTTATTACAACCAAAATATTTGACTAATTGCATACTTGCTTAAAAATAATTACTAAGTTGATTATAAATATTTTTAATATTAAAAATTAATTGTAATTTAAATATTTTATTAAACATCTAGTTATTTTATTAGATATTTTCCATGTAATTTAATGTATTATTATCCTAAAATAGAATCTGGAACTAACAAACCAACCTTTTTCTCAGCATTAATTAGAATTAATATAAGATCGAGTAATTAACTATATGAAGTAGACAATTCAAATGCATTTTGCCTAAAGTTAATCTATATAAAATAGAATTTCTGTGAATAACTTTGTTAATGAAATTGAAATTAATGGGACAGATATATATTAAAAAATACATCAATAAATTCTATATAATATTACGTTGATGTTGATCATCATATCTAATTAATTAATTTATGAATCATATTATTCAACAACCAAAGACCAATCAAAAATAAAAAAAGGTATCTAAAGTAGTTTTGGCACATCCAGAAATTTAACCAAATAAGACTCTTGATGAATTAAAAAGCAAGGAATGGATTGCAGCAATACAAAAGGAAATTGATTAATTTGAAAAGGCTATCGTAAATAAATTATTTAATTCGTTAGCATGAAGTAGAATCTTTGTTTAAAGAAGCTTCAATATCTTAACATTAAATTAGTTTAGGAAGTGTTAAATTAGTGCATGATGATTATTAATTTGCTGCTTTAAAATTACAAGTATTAAGAGAAATGCTAGCAAAATATTTAGAAGATCATACTAAATACCATCAAAATAAATAAATAATAAAGCCTCTGTACCATAAATATGCAAAAACTGTTTAAGAGCAACAATAACTCTCTTAGATGACAATAGATCAACAAAATTTAAAATTCACAATTGCAAAAGAAAGAGAGAAGATATAATTCTAATTTGGAGTTGCTTAAAGAGTTTTAGTTCTCATCTAAGCCTATCTGAAATTGAAGGATCAACATGAGGATCAAGAAGATTTGTAAAAACACAGAGATTATATTCTTTAAAAGATTGACAAAATCTAAAAGACAGAGGAAAGGCATTCCAAGAAGATAGATAGACATTTTAATAAAATTTTAATCGATGATCCTATCACATTTAAAGAAATTGAATTTTAAGAAGAATAAATAGACGATGACACTGGTTATGAAGGAACTAATACCACAGTAAGAGAAGATTTAATAAGTAATTTATTTATTTATTTTATTTTAGAGTTGTGCGATAGATTGATTGCTTACTTCATAAAGTTTGAGAAGAAGGAAGGAGTATTTATAATAATTTTATTTTTGAGGATTTATTCTTACAACATGATTTAGCAACTTACCAATATTTTGACCAAATTAAAGTGGCTGTTCCATTTTATTCAAATTAAATTGATATGACAATAGATTTGATTAAAGCCAAAAGATCCTTTTTTGAGAATGCCCCTGATACTGAATTTTTTTAAACCGGTGTTAAAAAAGCTATTAAATAATAAGTATAGAAAGTGGATGTCACAAATGAGTAAGAATTTCCTAAATTATCATGAGATTATTTTATAATCATATTAAAATCAGACAGTTATGAAAAATATTAAATTTTTGTCTAAAAATACGATCAAATAAGAAGTTTCCGATTAATATTTATTCAATAAATGAATCAAGTTAGATTTATCGCTTATTAGTGGCAATAGGATAAAGAATTAAACAAGTAAATGNAAAGCAAGGAATGGATTGCAGCAATACAAAAGGAAATTGATTAATTTGAAAAGGCTATCGTAAATAAATTATTTAATTCGTTAGCATGAAGTAGAATCTTTGTTTAAAGAAGCTTCAATATCTTAACATTAAATTAGTTTAGGAAGTGTTAAATTAGTGCATGATGATTATTAATTTGCTGCTTTAAAATTACAAGTATTAAGAGAAATGCTAGCAAAATATTTAGAAGATCATACTAAATACCATCAAAATAAATAAATAATAAAGCCTCTGTACCATAAATATGCAAAAACTGTTTAAGAGCAACAATAACTCTCTTAGATGACAATAGATCAACAAAATTTAAAATTCACAATTGCAAAAGAAAGAGAGAAGATATAATTCTAATTTGGAGTTGCTTAAAGAGTTTTAGTTCTCATCTAAGCCTATCTGAAATTGAAGGATCAACATGAGGATCAAGAAGATTTGTAAAAACACAGAGATTATATTCTTTAAAAGATTGACAAAATCTAAAAGACAGAGGAAAGGCATTCCAAGAAGATAGATAGACATTTTAATAAAATTTTAATCGATGATCCTATCACATTTAAAGAAATTGAATTTTAAGAAGAATAAATAGACGATGACACTGGTTATGAAGGAACTAATACCACAGTAAGAGAAGATTTAATAAGTAATTTATTTATTTATTTTATTTTAGAGTTGTGCGATAGATTGATTGCTTACTTCATAAAGTTTGAGAAGAAGGAAGGAGTATTTATAATAATTTTATTTTTGAGGATTTATTCTTACAACATGATTTAGCAACTTACCAATATTTTGACCAAATTAAAGTGGCTGTTCCATTTTATTCAAATTAAATTGATATGACAATAGATTTGATTAAAGCCAAAAGATCCTTTTTTGAGAATGCCCCTGATACTGAATTTTTTTAAACCGGTGTTAAAAAAGCTATTAAATAATAAGTATAGAAAGTGGATGTCACAAATGAGTAAGAATTTCCTAAATTATCATGAGATTATTTTATAATCATATTAAAATCAGACAGTTATGAAAAATATTAAATTTTTGTCTAAAAATACGATCAAATAAGAAGTTTCCGATTAATATTTATTCAATAAATGAATCAAGTTAGATTTATCGCTTATTAGTGGCAATAGGATAAAGAATTAAACAAGTAAATGATATTAATATTCTCAAGTTACACATTTTTATACCTAAATCTCAAGAAAATAAAAAATATCTTTTGTACATTATGATAGTATATAGCTATGGTTTTCTCTTATAATACTTAAACTGGCTTAATATATTCCTCCTATACGGAGGGTCTTGGCCATTTCACCTTAATATTAGAGCTTCAATAACCTTATAATAAAAGCCTATTCAAATTATTCTTTCAGACCATAAAAATAAGCAATAATATATTGAAGATTAAGAATGTTATCTTAGTTTTATTCAAGAATTGAAATTTATCATTTTCACTGAGTTATTTAATAGTGATATCCATAAAAGTCTTAGGAAACTTATAATAATTCATTTATTGAAAAATCTTAAATTTTCTTTAATTTCCTTAATATATTTAAAGTTTAGATTCACTCAGTAAATTAACAATATTTTTTCTTCAAATATAAACATATATTATTCAAATACAGTCAAAGTTATCAAATATTGTCAACATGATGTAACTAATCTTGACACATGTTATATTAGCAAAAAATTTACAGGATATATTTTTGGTAACAACAAATTAATGGAAAAGAATTGCAAAAATATAAGAATAATTGATAAAAGAAAATTTCAAATAAGTTGAGCTTTGTCATGAACACCATTATTTTTTATATATTTTAGAGAAAGAACAAGAATAAAAATAAAAATTTAATTTATACAAATTGGTGATAACTCCTAAATTAATAACTCATTTCTCCTGATATTTTCTGATCTGAATTTCTTTTGAATTTACATCCCAAGTAATCAAACACTGTCCATCATCAGTCATATATCCAAAAATACTACAAGCTCTAAATTCAATAGATTCCTCAATCACAAACCTTCCATTTTGTTTCTTTCGTAGTATACTAATATTTGAACCATTCTTATTTACAAGCATACATTTTGATTTTATATATTATCAAGGAAATAAAAAATAATCACTACCACCTTTTACAAGAATATCCATTGTCTTAGTATACTATTTATTACTATCATTCATCTCAAAAGCTCCTATGTAATCTTTACCATAAAGATAGAATGTGAATGTATTATTATCAATAAAGCATAATCTATAACTAAAATCTTTTATATTACAATCCATTATTTATTCAATTCTGATTTTTCAAATACAAATAAAGAAGAATCCTATCCACAAGATATAAATTTATTTTTTAATCATTGGAAATTAATCCTAATACAGTACTTGTATGATCTGTAATTGTCTAATAGCACAACCATTCATTTGATTTATACCAGAATTTAATCTTAGAATCATTACTACCAGATATAATAATATTTTCATTATTATTTAATAAAAAACATTCTATATTACTTGTATGTCCATTAAATTTCTATTGGCAAATCCATAAGCCATTTTGATTTCTTGCCCATATTATCATTGAACTATCAGTACTCCCAGATATAAAATGATCCGATCTCTTCATGAAATTTAAAGTGTTTACTTCACTCACTTAATATTTAAACTTATTTTAAGATTTCTCATATAAATTCAAATAATTTAAGTTAATTTAGAAATTGGAAGAATTTTCTGAAATAAAAATGCTAGAGAATAACTAGAAAAATTAGTAAAGGCAGGAGTCTCTACTAAAATTTGATAAAAATGATGAAAATATTTAGAAGAAATAGAAAACAATTAAGTAACACTCAATAATCATACTTTTTTTTATATCAAAATACCTAAACATGACCAAACACTAATTGATTTATAATTTTTTTTTGCTTACTAGGAAATAAATAGGAATATAAAAGATTCACTAAAAAAATTTGAATTTCTCAATTTTAAATAATTTTAGTTTGAATGGGCAATCATTTTATATATTGAATTGTAATAATATTTATTTAATTAAATTTAAATTATCATGAATCACTTCTAGTAAAATTAAAAGAAATTTTATTTAAAATTAAATAGATTAGAAAATTATTTGTCTTTTATTTAAATAAAGACTTCAAAGTGAATGCAACAATAATTTTAAATAAACATAAATATTCAAAAAAATTATAATTGATATATCTCACATTTCTATTATTTCTGGATTCATTTATCCAAATAAATATTAATTATTCTCACAATCCTCGTTATCCTCATTATCCTCTTCATTCTCATTATCCTCTTATTCCTTATCATTCTCATCATCCAAAAAATCCTGTTTTTAATTGAATTAGTCAAATTAATATGATCTACCTAATCTAGAATAGCAAAATGAAAAATTGCTATCTATTCCAATATGGCCATAACATAACGTAGGTTCTAATTGTGAATTACAATATATAGCATATTCTTTTTGATTCTACTTCAAAGGATAAACTTGATCATGATTTTATGGAAACATAAAAGATGACAATGTATTATCTTAGACGAACTTCCCATTACATGATTTCCATTTACAAGGAAAATATGCTCCAAAGATTTAATCACTTTTTGATTGAAATATCATAAGTAAATTGTCTCTTCCATTCATGTACTTCCTAAATTATTAACTTTCTAATCCATTTTTGTTCCTTAATAAAATAAAACTGAATTTTTATTTTTTTAATAATTTATAATTCTAAAATTTTGAATAGTTTTACCCAGTAATAATCTTAAAGTAAATTAAGTTTTAAATTTAATCCTAATTAATCAAACTTTGATTGAATTGTTCTAAATTAGTCATCCTAATTTTTAAGCTTTTTTTAAAGTAATTCAATTTCATTTTATTATGTTTATTTACATTAAGCATAATTATTTTTTCTTTCTTCAAATTTTCATTTTATATGTCATAATCATCTTTTTTATTTGTCAATTTTATTTGTATATCTTTGATTAATGCATCAAGCTCCTTAATTTTAGTCTTTTACTTGTTCTCTTTATAGTTTCCTAAATTATTTTACCCTTTTATTACAATAACTTATAATCTAATTACAATTTTTTTATAATTTCCTCCATTTCACAAAATTTCTTCAATTCTTAGAAATCCTATTCGCACTATTCCTGATAATCTTGAAATTATTTTTCTAAGTTAATAAAATGTTAGTGTTCTGAAACTGATTTAATTTTATCTTTGATAGAATTAATTTGTTTTAAATTCTTTTAAAATTAAGAAATTGTCTAATTAAATATATCCATTTAGCAATAAATTTATTTTGAAGAACTAATAAATTCATCTAACTCTTGTTTTCTCATTAATTATTCTTAATTTGCTTTTGTACTCTCTTATATTTATTGTGATATTAAGATAATTCCTTGAAGTTAATTCTCATCTAATAATAAAAAATTCTTGATACTTGATTTTTCAAGTAAACTATTAATTGACTCTTAAATGTTTATTAAATCATGCTATTTTAATTGTTCGAATTTGTTTTCAATAACTTTGAAAAATAAAGAGTCACTAGTCATCATATTATCAATTTTTGAATATTAAGTAAGGTTTTCTCTATCTTATTATTGAATCAAATAATTTATATTTTTAAATAATTCATCATTACTGAATTATTCTAGATTAGTTTATTTAAACTAAATTATCTCATTCGTTTGAATTATTGGTTAAGTCAACTCACTTAATAATTTCTCACTAATTTTATTTAATTATTAATTGCAATTCTTTCTCATTTTATTAATTTTTTCATTCAATTTTTCTTATTTTTTTTACTTCTTTACCTTTAATTCATTTATAAGTTTATCTTGTTGTTTTATTTTATCATTCCATGACTAATTTACTTTTTCTATAGTGCTATATTTGCATTAGAGATTATCGCAAATACATTCACCGCACGCAAATCTATCTTTTAACTTTTTATTTTTAGAATCTATTATCATGTATTTGACAAAGGATCTTTAAATTTAATGTTTTCTTAATCAATATATAAATCTTACTTTATTATTTTTACATTAAATAGGCAGTATTTCAATTTGATTAATTTCTGTTATTTTCTATTTAGCACCCTTTAAAGCTGAAAAAATTTCGCTGTATGTTCCATTATTAGTAATGAGCTCAAATTATTTACAAATTTCATCTATAAATTAAATATCTTTTTAAAGTTCATTTGATTTTTTGAAGTTGAAATAAATTGTGATAATTGAACATCATAAATGAAATTAAGTGGAGCTTAAAAATTTTCTTATGAAAAGTATTGTTCTTCTTCAATAGTTGTATTTTTATTGTAAATTGACTTTAGATCTCCTCCAAAATCTTATCAACTTATAATTTGAACTCCATAATTGATTACATTATTGTTTAATACTATTCTAATATTATTTAGAATGATTTAGTTTTTTTTTTCTTATTTTTAAGCTTTAAATGATTAAATCCTCTCTTTTGTTTATTTAATTGTTGATATTTTTTTATTATTCATTTTCTCAATTAAACAATTAGAACACAAATAACAAATTAATCCATTATTTGATAAATCTAGGTCTATTGCTGTAACCTTAAGTTAATGAATTTCACAGATCCTTTGATCTTCAGGCATTTAAGAGCTTAACATATTCATTTTTATGATTTTAATAATGAAACATTAATTGACTTTATTCTCTATTTTAGCAAAAACTAATTATTGAAATTCTTTTAAAAAAGATTTATTTATGGTAAAAAAGTCAAATTAAAAGTAATTATTTTTTATTTTGTTATAATATAGAAAATCATTAAAATAACTTAATTGAAATAAAACTTTTATAATAATTATTCCTATTCAGTTTGAAGCCTTAGTTTAATTAAAATAACAAAAACTTGATAATATGGAAAAATATTTCATATTTAAGAAATTTTATAAACAACTCTTGATTTTTACTTAAGCCAATATAATTGATAAAATACAGTATTTATAGAAGGATGAAGATTTGCTACTATTTTCATATTAGAAAATCACAAGAAATTATTAAATCTCTCAGTATTGAATTATCATAGTTAATCGCATTGTAAATATCCTTAAAGTATGATTTGAAAGCTTGGAATACCAAGTGATTTATTGAATAGTAAAAGGATTTTAGGAAATAGCAAATCATCATAAACAGAAGATTATATTGATCATTTTATCTCAAGTTATATAAAGCGTAAAAAATTCAAATAACCTCCATTTATTAATTGACTTTCAAAATGCTGAATCAATAACAGATAATGAAACGATAAATTAGCGATTGTAATTTGTATAACATATTGAATACAAGGAGAAATCTTTTAAAGCGAAGTAAAATGAAAATAATTTATTATTTCAAATTTAATTATTCGATGGACATATAAATTCAACAGTGTTAATAATATTAGAATATTTGTAAAAGTTGCATTGAAGAAAAAAAAATCTGATCCAAATTGTAATTTTCACTTTTTCTAATAAAACAATGATGAATTGTATATTGGTTAATATTTATTATTATAAGAAACTAATGATAGCATTAACCTATATTATGAAAATCAAAAATGTTATTTATATGCTCAAAGTATACCTTTCCCAACAATCAATTTTTAATGTAAGAGAATGCTTAATTAACTGACATTGATTAATATGATTACTGTTAGAGACTGTATTATCATTTTATATTTAAAACTCCTGAAAAATTAACTAAAGTTGTTATAATTAATTGAACCTGACCAAAACTGAGGTTATGCTTTTTAATATTTATAAATTAGTATTAGTCTTTCTTTAAAATTATTTTTATTGCAATATAAAAAAATTTTAGATTTTAATCACAAATTAATTCAGATTTATATTCATATGTTTGATTAACTCAATCAAAAATCATACATAATCTGAACTATTAATTTAAAATTTATTATAAAAAATCAAATAATACCTAAGATCTATGGCATATCATTTGAAAATATTTTAGAACTGATCACCTTGTCTATTTCATTAAAAACCCAATTTGATGATATTTCGCTTAAATTTTTTAGAATATTTTAATTTTATAAAATAATGTTTCATATTTATTTTAATCAATAAATTGTGATATTACATAAAAATATTTATTATTAATACAAATAATAACAATTTCTATATGCCTTTATAAAAAATATCCAAAAATTCTAAAAAAGTCTTGAAAAAGTAATGTGTTACTAAAAAGAATATAAAAAACATAAGAGAATAGAAATTCAATCAAATATCAAATGATTAAAAAAATGAATTTAAATATATTCATTTGCCAAAAATCTCGATTAAATAAATTGAGACATGTTATGCTATTGCTATTAATAATAGTAATACACTTTGCATAGTTGCAATGTGCTCAATGATCAAAATTATGGAAATACAAGAGTTAAAGAAAGAATTAAATTAAAATTCCTTAGAAGACAAAGCATTATGTATTTAACTACAAATTCTAGAAGGAATACATACGGATATAGTTAGCACTTTAAATTTTATGGAAAAACCTGAGAATATTGATTCCTTTATCTCTGGTTCATTTGATGGAAGAATCATTATATGGGCTCTAAAAAAAATAAAGGAAGATTTTGTTAAACCAAAATAATGGTTCCCTTAGTTTATTTTGTTAGGTCATATTTCTTATGTGAACTGTTTAAGTTTGCTGAATGATGAAAATATTATTTCTGGAAGCAGCGATAATACGATTAAATTGTGGAATTTGAATAAACTAAAAAATGATTGGTCATGTATTCAAACTGTTAGGGAGCACACTGATATAGTTTTAGGATTATCAATCAATGAAGAAAAAAAACAATTAATATCTTGTGGAGGTGATAAAAAAATATTAATTATGAAATTGACATCAAATGGCAAATTATAAATAAATTAGATAATTAATGTTGATATTAGAGGTAGTAGAATAACATTTATTACAAATGAATTGTTTGTTTTCCTTTAAGAATCATCAAATAATCTTCATATTTATAAAGCTTTAAGAAAAAATATTTATGAAAAGTATTAGGAATTTCCTGTTTCAGGAGGAGGGCAAAGTTGTGATTTTTATTTTCCAGCATAATATATCAAGCAAATGAATCTCTTAGTTCTAAAAAATGGTAGATGTGTGAATTTAATAAAAATAGTTATTAATCTTAACAATTAAAATATAGAAATTTAATGCAATTAATAATAGGTTCTTACATTTGGAAAACTTGAAATCTCAAGAACTTATGGAACCTTAAGTAATAATGGGGATTTGTTGGTGACATGGAATTCGACATCGAATTAAATACAGTTTAGAATATTGAAAGAGAATATTGAAATAAATCATCATATTTGAATAGTAATTTAAATTTGGTCCAATTTTTATAAATAGTAATACTTTTTTACTTTATATTATTCTTAAGATTTAAGAGAAGAGTATTATAGTATATTATTTCCTAGAATTTTTCATACATTATAAGCAGATGTTGAAAATATCACAATTAGTAAAGTAGGTTCATCATACAAAAATATGTATAGTGTTGTCTAAAAAATGAGTATGATTATGGGGTGAAACGTTTTATTAAACCAATATTCTCGATATTTATTGTTGTTAATCAAAAAAAAAGATAATAAATTATAATGAAGAAGTATTTTATTTTCACTATTTTTATTAGATAATTAAATTTTTAGGAATATATAATTTTTCCTAAATTTACCATATTTTAGAGGCTTGGTAGATTAAAATTTTACAGAAGTTGAGACTTCTTAGAATAATTGAAAACGAGAGATTATCGAGGCATTTATTCTGAATATTCATTTAGATAAGAAAAATTTGAGTAAGATTAATTTTTAAAAAAGTCGTAAATTACTGCTAAAATCATATAAATGTAAAAGCTATTTATTTTAGGTATATATTAAAATTATTGTAAATCATGTATAAGTATCGCTTATTTTGAAGATTCAATAATATTATTGGCATTTCAAATACCTATAATGCTATTAAGAATTATTTTTATATTATATTTTAACAAAACTTGACACTCAGCTTTTTGAAATATTATTTAATAGTTATAGTTGTGTTTCAGAAGGAAAATAAAAAATTATCTCTTCTAATATTTTTCTGAAATTTCATAAGTTTAAATAAAGTAGGTGTAAGGGAGTATTCAATATTCTCATTAAGGTAATATTTGTATATAAGATAATAGAATTAAATTAAATTTATATGATGATAATACACATGCAACAAGATGGAGATTTAATTTTTTAGATAAAGAAGGCTTTGATGGCAGTAATTATAAAAATATAATAGATTTCATAATTGTAAATTTGCTTTTAAGACTGCATGTGATATAGTTTTTACCTTAAAAAATTGTAATTATAAATTGAATGCTACATATTCTTTAAAAAGTTATATTTGGCCTGTATTATTTAAAGTATGTCTTAATAATTATAATATCTTATTTTAATTACATATAAATGAGATATTTATAATAACAGTTCTCTTTCCTTGCTATAACCCAATAAAATTCTGGAAAATTTGTGCATTTTAAATTTGATTTCATTTTACTGATCGCCATTTTAAAAATGTCTTTTTGTAATGACAATATTTAAAGGTACTATGTAATTTTTAACTCTTCATTTAATACTCAATTATCTGATGTTTACAAAGATATTACATTTTAGATGGAGAATCGTAAAAAACTTTGAATAATAAATATATTATGCAAAGGAAACAAGCAGTGATGAGAAATTTTTAAGTCATAGATTGTTGTTTAGATGGATAACTTGATTATCCTAAAGAGTTTTAATATTGTTCTAAATGATGATATTATAGAGGTGAGGATACAAATAAATTCTTTATGATTTTTTCAAAAATATTAATTGGATAAGGATTAGATAATATCCCCTTTAAATTTTTAAGTATCCTAGGAGACGTGATTGTAGCACATGACAAAAAATGTGATTATGAAAACTTAAAATTAGAAGAATAGTAATACAATTATAAATTATAATGTTAAGAGTAATGTCTTTATCCTTGCTAAAGAGTTCTTAAATACATAGTAATTATTTTAATCGTTTATGTAATTTCATTTATATTTTAAAATTATAAAGGATTAAATCAATTTATAACCAGATAAAGTAATCTATATAGATTTAATGATTTAAATTTGGAAGTTACTTTATTCTTCATTTATATTTTAGTATAAATTATCATTTGATAAAATTTAAATAAAAAATAACTAAAATATATACCAAGAGCACTTAAGAAACTATTTCACATAAACCAGCTTTTATGGATATAATTGATGAGTCATTTTAAATTACTTTAATTATATCTTCCTTTAAATATAATTGTTTCTATATTGTATATAAATATTTATCTAATTATATTAAAAATAGAAAGAATTAATTTGTTAGAAATTTTATATTTTTCCAAAAATTTTTGTTTCAATTTTCTGCTAAAAGGAAACAATAATAAATGAAAGAATAAAACTAATGTGGATGTAAAATTCTCGATTTTAATTACAAATATTTATAAAAAAAAATTAAATGTGGTTAAAATATTTCTAATTTTATTCAATTTATATTTTGTTAATTCAATGTCCATTCTATTATCTATGAATAATAAACTACAAGTTTATTCAATTCAG